CGCGTCACGCGTCACGTCGTCCGTCGCGTCACGATTAATCGACCAAAACATTCCATTTTATTATATTCCGCGCGACTCCTTGCACGACGCATCAATTAAGTTACTCAACATTCTAGAAATAAAATAATCTTTTTTTGTATAAAATCCAGGATCGCACAGCAAATTACGCAATAAAAGAGATGTTTTGATTGGTCAATTCGAATAACGCGACGCGTGACGCGCTCAGTAGGAACACACCCTAAAGCCGGTATCAGACTATGCACTGGAGATTGAGCGTTTTCGATTTTTTCCATAAACAAATATAAATCTTAAAGAAAAAACTATTAAGAAATACAATGTATTAAATAATAATAATATTCCTTTATATTTTTATTATTATTATTATTATCTTTATTATTTGTTTGTGAATTTTGGGAATTTAACTCTTAACACCCTGTATAGCATCGGTGAATTTTTTTCTATAACGTTACGTCTTTTACCTGTTTTTTTTTTTTAATAAAAAGTCGCGAGATATACGATAAAATACATGTAGATGCGTATTATACTTATATATTGCTAATTTTCAACATGTATTATCAAAAAAGAACGATAAAACAAGCAAGTTTCCAGACAGAGACAATTTAAATTTAAAAGTAAAATTCCAAAAATTTTCCTAAGTGCCGATAAAATTCAACAAAAATCCTTGACTTTCAAGAAATTATCTGAAAATTCCGGGTTTTTCAGGTTTTTTTCAGTAAACACTCTGTTACAGCGTCTAAAATACTTTATATACAAAATTTTTTATACAAAATTCACGTTAATTTCATGAAATACATAAATGCTGCCAAATTGATTAATTTTCTATAATCACAATTTTCTACAGTAAATATATTTTCCTAAATTTTATATTACTGTGTACGTTATTGTAAATTTTATAGTTAACTTATATAAATACAATGATCATGCGTCACTATATTAACATGTACAATAATTCCCGACAACAATTTCAAATCATCTTTGGTTTACCATCATAAACAAATATTTCACCTATTATATAATAATACATATAAAAAATAAATACATATATATATTGTCACGTGCTCCCGTGAAATAAATAATTCGCGCGAGCACGGATCAAACAAGGTTGTGGGAATCGCGTACGATTCCGGAGAGGCCGGAAGGTGGCAGCCCTCCGGGATGTGTCCCTCTGGCGACCGACGAGGAGCGGCGACGCGAAACTGGGCG